GTCCCACTGCCTGGATGCCTCCCAAACAGATCAAGCCAATCAACTGTCTCACCCATTCAGAGGGCCTGATCCAGTTGGTGACCCCTCAGCCATTGGTTCATAGTTCATGTGTTTCCATTCATTTGGCTATTTGTCCCTGTGCTTTATCCAACCTTGGTCTCAACAATTCTCGCTCATATAAACCCTCCTCATTCTCGCTAATTGGACTCCCAGAGATCCACCTGGGGCCTAGCCATGGATCTCTGCATCCAGATCCCTCAGTAGTTGGATGAGGTTTCTAGCACGACAGTTAGGGTGTTTGGTCATCCCATCACCAGAGTAGGTCAGTTCGGGCTATATCTCGACCATTGCCAGCAGTCTGTTGTGGGGGTATCTTGTGTATTTCTGTGGGCCTCTCTAGCACTTTGCTTCTTCCTATTCTCATGTGGTCTTCATTTACCATGGTTTCCTATTCCTTGTTCTCTCTCTCTGTTGTTGATCCAACTGGGATCTCCCGCTCCCCAAGCTCTCTTTCCCTCGACCCTCGCCCTTCATTACCCCCACTCATGTCCAGGCTGTTCATGTAGATCTCATTCCATTTCTCTGTCATTGGGTGATCCCTGTGTCTTTCTTGGGGTCCTGTTTTCCAGGTAGCCTCTCTGGTGATGTGAGTAGCAGTCCAGTCATCCTTGTTCCACATCTAGTATCCTCCTATGAGTGAGTACATACCATGTTTGTTTTTCTGAGTCTGGGTTACCTCACTCAGGATGATTTTTCTAGATCCATCCATTTGCTTGCAAACCTCATGATGTCATTGTTTTTCTTTGCTGAGTAGTATTCCATTGTGTATATGTACCACATTTTGTTTATCCATTCTTCAGTTGAAGGGCATCTAGGTTGTTTCCATGTTCTGGCTATTACAAACAATGCTGATATGAAGATAGCTGAACAAGTGCTCTTGTGGTGTGGTTGAGCATTCCTTGGGTATATGCCCAAGAGTGGTATAGCTGGATCTTGTGGGAAATGGATTCCCAATTTTCTAAGAAAGCGCCATATTGATTTCCAAAGTGGTTGTACAAGCTTGCATTCCCACCAGCAGTGGAGGAGAGTTCCCCTAGCTACACATCCTCTCCAGCATAAGGTGTCTTCAGTGTTTTTGATCTTAGCCATTCTGACAGGCGTAAGGTGGTATCTCAGAGTTGTTTTGATTTGCATTTCCCTGATGATTAGGGATGTTGAGCAATTCCTTAAATGTCTTTCAGCCATTTGAGTTTCCTCTGTTGAGAATTCTCTGTTTAGTTCTATAGCCCATTTCTTTTTTTTGTTTGTTTTTTTTTTTTGTTTTTTGTTTTTTTTGGTTTTTCAAGACAGGGTTTCTCTGTGTAGCTTTGCGCCTTTCCTGGAACTCACTTGGTAGCCCAGGCTGGCCTCGAACTCACAGAGATCCGCCTGGCTCTGCCTCCTGAGTGCTGGGATTAAAGGCGTGCGCCACCACCGCCCGGCCTATAGCCCATTTCTTAATTGGACTGTTGGGCATTTTGATGTCTAATTTCTTGAGTTCCTTATATATTCTGGATATCAGTCCTCTGTCAGATGTGGGGTTGGTGAAGATCTTTTCCCATTCTGTAGGCTGTCGCTTTGCCTTGTTGACCGTATCCTTTGCTCTATAAAAGCTTCTCAGTTTCAAGAGGTCCCATTGATTGATTGTTTCTCTCAGTGTATCATTATAAAATTTGAGACGGCAGAGATCTTGAAAGCACACAAAAGCAATAAATCACATGCAAATTTTCTCAAATTCAAGTCTCACCTACTTCTTAGCGATGACAGTAGAGTCCTTCCTAACTTGGAAGAGGTTGCAACCCTGAAGTGCTGTGGCTAGTAAAGCCATTGTCTGAGACAGAATAGATGCAAAGGTGTGCTGCTGTCTGTGTACCCTCTTAGAGGCTCCTGGAAAGTGAGGTCTATCAGGAAGAAGTAAATCAAGAAAATGAATGTCTTACCCCTGTTCCAGAAGAGAGGGAGGGGGAGGGGAAGGGGGAGAGAGGGAGAGAGAGAGAGAGAGAGAGAGAGAGAGAGAGAGAGAGAGAATGAGGATGAATGAGAATTAGAGAGCCAAAAAGATCATAGTAAAGAGTGTCGTGGAAGCAGGGATGCAGTAGATCTAAGACACAATTCATTACCATGAGACAAAGAAGCGAGGGCTTAAAGAGAGCGAGCTTTTTAACCTGACTTTGCTCATGTATGAAAAAGATAAATCAATAAAAAAGAAAACGTGAAATGTGCTTTTTATCACATTAAAAATATTTCAGTTTTTCTGGGAGATATGATACTGATGGGTGATGATGAGGAAACCTGAGAGTTAGAAAAATTATTTCACTCAGTCACAAAAAAACTTATGGGTCTTGATTCAAACCTGAGAGACCCTAACAAGGGTTGGTGCCTAATTTAAAAGTATAAGGTTTAAAAAAAATACCGGGGCTATAGACAAGAGATTGCACTATAAAAATGATTGCGCATCATACAGTTTATAAGATACATTTGCATTTTATTTTAGTTGTGGGAAAATGCTCTGGGAAGATTTAAAGATGGACCAGTTAGGTGAATGGAGAATGGAACTTCTGCTGGTACTGACAGTCAAACTGGGCGGGACCTCTGCAGACTTTCAGGGTTCACTGTACACCTTATGCAGAGCGAGGAGCATTCTTTGACATCACATACAGATCGGCATTTTCCTTTGCCAGTGACAGGTGGAACTGTGCCACCGATATGGATCACTGACTCAATTTGAAGTTTTTGCTGGATGACAGATGTGTCAAACTGATTTGAAGACTAGAGAAAAAAAAAATCTATGGACTGAAATTCTTTTTCTTTGCAGACTACATAGTATTAAATAAAATTTATATAACTGGTCATTTCTTCTTTTAGCTAATAAGTGTTTAATCTCAGTTATTTTAGTTTAAAGTTTTCTAAAATAAAATGTTCGTCTTTCTTTGTAAACATGTAGAGACAACTCTTAAAATTTTATTTTTCGCCGGGCGGTGGTGGCGCACGCCTTTAATCCCAGCACTCAGGAGGCAGAGCAAGGCAGATCTCTGTGAGTTTGAGTCCAGCCTGGTCTACTGAGAAAGATCCAGGAAAGGCACAAAGCTACACATTGAAACCCTGTCTCACTAAAACAAAACAAAACAAAATTTATTTTTCTTCTAGTTGGTATTTGTCTTCAGGTTGATAATGGTACAAATTTTTTTAAAACACATTTCACTGTATTAACACCATATTCAAATAAATTCACTTATGTTTCAAATCTTGTTTAATTCTTTCTTTATAGAATTTTATGATAAGAATACCATGTGGAGTGATGAAATCTAAAATCTGACCTCTTTGTGTAGCCTTGGAAGTAACCATCTGTGAAGTTGGCAAAAATTGCTAAGAGCAGATAAAGTAATGCTTAATTGAGTAGCTGATCTTTCCAGAACTACTGTTTATATTCCAAATCTAAATGAATCAGGATGCCCATAATCCTTTAGTAGCTTAGACATCCTAAATAGGATGAGTAACACACTTAATAGTCATTTTACTTCCTAGTGTCTTAGCTCATCCTCCCAACAGAAATGACTAGAGTGGAAATGGCCTGACTTCAGGATCACTGTGAAAATTAAATGGACCAAGAACATATAATACAAAGCCATATCAGATAGTAGGGACCCGATAAGTGCTATTTTTCCTTCTCCAGAGAGTCTCTACCTCATGATGACAAACAATTCTAAATTCATAAGGCATGCACTCTTAGCTTTCTGTCTCTATAACAAAGTAGATTTGTTTTGGCTCACAGATTCGGATCTTTCGGTCTGTGGTTACTTGATTCTGCTGTCTGGGCCTGTGGTGAGGTTGCACATCAATGGCAGGAAACATGTAGCAGAGGAAATAGCAAAAGAGAATGAGAAGGGCAGGGATTAAATATCCTTCCAGACCTGCCAGCCCACCTCTCCCAGCTAGCCCCTGTCAGAAGTGTGCTTTATCAATAAGGTGTTTCTCCGTGTAGTCAGGTCGGTAACCCACACACTGTCCACCCAATCTCTTTCATGCCTGTTTCTCTTCTCCTTAGAAAAATAGAAAGCTTATCCGTTTGGATTTTAAACACATATTTTTATCCATTGCCTATCTGAACTGGCATGATTGAACTTCTGTGGACAAAGTGAGAATAGTCTATTTCCTGGTCTTAGGAATGAAGAAGGGGCAAAAGTAGCCAGTGCTAGATTCCATCTCAGTCATAGAATTCCTACTGCCTTGCTCCACCTTCCTCATATAGAAATGGTTAATTCTTCGTCTACAGTCCAGTCTAAAACAGTGGTTTAGAGTAGTAATGAACACATATACACACTGCCTCTGCATCAAAGCTGAGAAAGAAAAGAAAATCTATGAAAACTTTTCTTTTAAAAATCATTTTAATTAAGTGCATTTGACCTCTATGTAAGATCTCATTTAGCTCAGGAAATTATAAATAATGGGTAAATACCTGCATTGAGGTTTCGATCAATTTTTCTCGGAATGCATTATGTTTTATTTACTAAAGAGCTTTGGAACTTTTAGTAAGTTTTACTACAAGCTGTAATGAATCAACATCTGAGTCTTTTGTTTACCTATTCCTACATCCAAGCCTCTATTTTAATTTGCAAAGGAGAAACATTTATCCGAGTAAATATATAAGATTGTTAAATGAAACATATTTTATGGTATTTAGATGATATACTGAAATACACAAAAATGTTCATGCATACATAAATAATGTCAAATAAAACCCATACATAATGACATGTATATATATTTAAATACAGATATGCATATAATAATAAACAAATATCTCCTACCCTTCCAATCATTAATATGCTCATTAATTTTTATTGGGTTCTTTCCTACTTAGTTTTCATCTTATTTCATATACATATACAAATGTGAATTTTTTTATTTTAACAATGCAGTCCAAATTCTATAGATTTTCCATTTTCTTATTTTCTGCCCAGAAATTGACATTGAACGCTGCGTACGAGAGTCAGTCAGTCTGTTTTGTTGGACTCCTAAAAGTGCTACATACAGACAGCATGCTCAACCCCCAAAACCAGCCTCTGAGAGCAGCGGAGTCCGAAGCTCAGCACCCTACTTCTCTATTGACTGTACAGATCCTCCAAAGACAGACCTGGTACGTACTACAGACACCAGTCTTAAATCCTGGAAGAGGGATTGTCGGTATGTCCTAGTATCATTGCTGTTCATATAGTGTCACTTACATTCTTTTAAAGTATCTATTTCCTAATATATGATTGTGTTCACATGGTTATTTCAGAAGACCTCTGTCTCCTTTGATGTTACAGTGAGGAAGAGTGTTTGGACATATTCCTCTGATGACTAGCTTTACTTTATTTTCTACGTTAGCATAGTAGCTAGTAATACACCAACTTGTTATATGAGATTACAGAAGCAAAGGAAAAAACTTTTTAAAAGCAGTGTTAAAAGTTGTTGCTATAGTAAGAACTTATTTGTTCATGACAAAGGAAATGTTTGGAAAACTGTCCCATTATATTTTCCAATATTGGCCTTCCTATTCATGTTATTTACAACTTATGTGTTCCAAAGATCCCAATTTTTTTTTTATTTTTTATTTTTTTTTGCTTTTGGTTTTTCGAGACAGGGTTTCTCTGTGTAGTTTTGGTGCCTGTCCTGGAACTCACTTGGTAGCCCAGGATGGCCTTGAACTCACAGAGATCTACCTGGCTCTGCCTCCTGAGTGCTGGGATTAAAGGTGTGCGCCACCACCACCCGGCCAAAGATCCCAATTTTATATTATCTTAATTATTTTATGAAATTGAATTTCAATTAATATGCATACATTCATTGTTTTAGTAACAACCAGGTAAATTTAATAGGATAGACTTCAATGTGTAAAAAGGAATGTTTTCACATTTCCAATTGCAACCAAATTGTATTTATTAACAATAGACAGGAACCTGGGTGATAAAGAGGTGACAGCTCCATAGATATACATGAGAAAGGTTATAAGTTGCTGAAGAGATGACAGCCCCATAGGTATATATGAGAAAGGTTATGAGAAGTTACTAAAGGATCTCGAGAGATAAAAATAAGAATCTTTACTAGGAAATAAATATTTTTACTAGTCTTCCAAAAGTGGAGTAGGCCTCCCAAGGGGAGGATTGGCATTTATTGAGATAAAAGGTAAATATTTAATGTGTTATTTTAAAATTATTTTTAAAATTTTATTTATATGTATGAATGTTTGCCTGCGTGTATGTATGTGTACCACATGTGTGCCTCATACCCTCAGAGGTCAGAAGAGTATGTCTGATCCCATGGAACTGGAATTATGGATGACTGTGAGCCACCATGTGGATGCTGGGCATTGAATCCCAGTCATCTGGAAGAACAAGTGCTCCAAACTGCTGAGCCATCTCTACAGCCCCTGTATAAAATATTTTTCATCTGAAATGTTATCCTCTTTCCCATGTTTCTGAAGGTTCAAATTTAAATGTTAATAGAAAGGAAAGTAGATAGAAAAAATGTGTGCTGCATATTCATTAAAATTAGGACATTCACAGTTTAGATTCATATAATGCCATACTGTTGTGTTAGTCTTTTCCCTTTCTTTTTCATTTTTGTTCTTGTTGTTGTTGAGATAAGGCCTTCCTATGTGTCCCCAGCTGGCCTGGAACTCACAAAGATCCTCCTGCCTCTACCTCCCAGGTGCTAGTTTTAAAGTCCTACAGCTCCATGCCTAGCTTATGTTAGATTCTTTAACATCCTTTTATAGTAGAAAAAACATGTTTACTGTTTCATAGAGTTGGATTCCATTTCGACCCTGCTTGTTTTTTACATTGAATAATCCACAGACTCCATTTCCTATTTATAAGTGTTAACACATGTGTTACGTACCTTATTTTCATGACAGAATACAAAGACACTCAGGAATGAAAATGTATTTTGGCTTGCAGTTCCAAAGGTGTCGGTCTGTTCTGTCAGGAGCTGTGCAGTGGAATAGAGCAGCTCATACAATGAGCCAGGAAGCAGGGTGGGGGATATGGAAAGAGGTCAGGCAAGACCCAGTCCAGAGACACCGCCCTAGGGCCTTACTTCCTCCACCTTGACCCTGCCTGCCGCTCTCAGGACCTCTCAACAATGGCAGCATGTTAGAATCCACCAGTGCTTTAATACATTCCTTAATTCAGGAAGCTCTTGATGTACTCATATCTGTAAATGTCACAAACACACCAAGCAGTGTGCTTCACCCTCTTCTGTGCATTTCTTAGTCCAGGCACATAGGCAAGATTATCACATCGCAACACCTAGGTGTAGCAAAGTCATTTTACAAATAATGTACAAAGTATCCACTCAGTGCATGATATAGAGCAGGAATCTAAACTAGTAACAATTATTTTTACATACTTGGTAATTAAGGAATAAAAAGTTCAGCACTGTAAACTATATAGAACTTAATGACAATAATCTTCTGAATCTAAATAATTTGTATGATGGGGTGATGTTCTGGAGTTCCATCTCCTTCGCTGGGTCAGCAGCAGCACCGTCACTTTACATTCAGAACGCACCAACAGTAAGGCAGGGGAAGAGTTGGAGGCTGCCTTTCAAGAGAAGGAATCTTTCTGGCAGTTTTACTCTAGTAATTTCAGTTTAAAATTTCACTTTGACCTTTACTTCTTAGTTTTAATACCGTTTTGATTTTCAAGCCACTAAAGAATTGCCAAAAGAATTATTTCATCTCCTGCCAAGATCTCTCCCATCCAGTTTTATCCTTAAAATAGCAAAGGGAAAAAAAAGCCTGCTTGAGAATTTGGTTCATAGTTCACTAATTGAAGAAAACAGTGAGTAAAGGTATGAACTTTTGACGAATAGGATGAAAAAACAAACAGATTTTCATTTTGGGGTGGGGAGGTGTGAATGCAGAAATCGGAGATTAACTCAGAGATCAATGTTGTATGTTGCCCCATCTTATTTTTGAGACAGAATCTTTTGGTGGGGCCTGGAGTTCACCAGGTTTAAGCCAAGCTAGCTGGCCAGATGTCCTCCTATGTCCACATCTCCAGTGCAGGGGTCACAGGTGCTCAGCCTGGGCCCAGCTCCTGAAGTACAAGTGATGGATCGAGCCATCCTTTGGTGTGTAGAGACTAAGCATTTGCCAATGGCGCTCTCCCAGCCACAAGGTTGAAATGGATTTTTTTTTTAACTGAATGTGCTTTTTAGGAAAAGATGGTGGTTAACTTTAGATATTTTTGTATCTCTTTGACAAATTTGAGCAGCATATAAATTTGTTTATGAATAGTATAACTTAATTATGTACAATCTGTGAAAAAGCAAGAATTATTGTCCTTTTTCACAATAACCCAATTAAGAACACATATAGTAGCCCAAGATTAAAAACTAAGTTTATTTTATTCACATAATGGTAACTATTTGTATATAGTATTGTCATGAGTAAAATAGACCATTCACTGAATGATCTTCAACTTTGTAAGGAATACTTAATGTGTTAACTAAATGAGTTTAGGGTCTTTAAAACATTTTTATACTGTATGATGGAATAGCTTCTAAAAGTCAAATATAAACACTAGTGTATAAAATTTAATTTCAATAAACTATGTAATTTGAACAATTAAAAATAGTCTCATAGGACTTTATAGTTTGCAAGTATTCAAGTATATTTTCTTCCTCTAAACTAATCTCTAAAGTGTTTTTATCCCCCATTTGAGAGTTGAAACAAGCTAATTAATGCAGTATAACTTACAAATGGCTATTTTATCAGTAGTGAAAAATGTTTTGTACCCTTGATAATTCAAGTGTATACGTATTAATCCAGCTCATATAGTACTCTAAAGTCATGGCTTCTCAAGAGTTCACTATTTTCTTTTCAGTTTCACTGGGTGTACATTGATGTGTACAGTCACTTGTGTACTTCTAAATAAGATTGATGGTTCACAGTAAAGTGCACAGAAAAACAAAAATATGTCATTTTTTTTGGCTAACATAATATCAAGACTAAAATATTGACCTAAAGTCCAACTAAACATTATTTTGTTGGGCTATTCAAATCAGTAGGAGGACAGAGCATTTAGTTTTTCATCTATTCTCTTTACTGTGTATATTCTCTGTATATTCTAGCTATCAGCCCTTTGTCAAGTGAATAGTGGGAAATGTTTCCTCTCATTCTGTAGGCTGTCTTTACCCTGCTGCTCGGATTAGAGGTGTAAGTCACCATGCCTTCTTGGTGAGTTGACCCTTGATCCTTGGATGATGCACTTTTTGTCTCAGTATTAACTTGTTTATCCTAAAGTCTGCTTTGCAGAATGTGCGTATAGCTAGTCCTGCTTGCTTTGGGTTTCCATTTGCTTGGAATATTATTTTTCCCTCCTATCCATCTCTGTGTCTATAGAGCTGATGTAAATTTCTTGAGTGTGTGTCGTTGGGTTTAAAGGATATTTTTAAATATCTTCAACCAGTCTGAGTCTTTTAATTGAAGAATTCAGTCCATTTTCATTCCTTATTATTGATAGATAAGGGCTTACTCCCGTCTGTTATTATCTTTGTTTGAAATACTTTTTCTTCTTTTATTCCTTCCCTGTCCATCTTTGTGGTTTGATAGTGCTTGATTCTTTTCTTCTTTTTATGTAACTGTTCTTCTCATGGTTTTTATGTTCTTCCATGATGTACCTGTTTTACACTGATCTTAGCCAAAAGGCCAAGAAGTGATGGTACCTATCTCTCATTTATAGGCTTAAGTATCTTTTGTAAGACTGATCAGAAAGTTATAAATCTGTTTCATTTTTTTTTTTTAGAAAGGCTCTATTTCACCTTCGGTTCTGAAAGCTATCTCTACTGGGTGTAGTGTTCCTGATGACTGTTTTTCTTTTTCAGAACTGGAAATACAATTTTCTATTTCCTCCTGGAATACAGTTTTTGGTACAGTTTTTTTTTTTTTTTGGTTTTGTTTTTTCATTTTTCCTGGGAAATATACCTGTCTACTAGAGAAACTCTTGAATTGATTCGGTGCCTTTCTCTTACAAATTTTAGAGATTTTTTTTTCCTCTGAACTTTTTACAGTTTGAATATAACATGCCATGTGAAGATCTTTTCTGGTCTTTTCTATTTGGTGTTCTGAATGCCTCCTATATGTGGCTA